CCATAATTGACGGCATATATCTCTGATAAGTAGGTCATGAATTTGAATTTTCCACCCCACTTATTGTACTATGAAAAACTAGTACTTAATTATGGTCTTTTTAAATTTGATGAATAGTTTAAAAAGGGTAAAAAAATGTATAGGGAAAAGGTACGTAGCCCTAAACTTCACTCTACACCATGTTTCTCCCTTTTCTTGTCTCCGCAACTGTCGAAGGCACTTTCAAAATTTGCTTCCCCTCATTTTTAATATTTATTTTGTGTCCATTATTTTCTCCTTTGTTTAAGAATTTTTTGAAACTAAAAATTAAACTACACACAAATAATAATTCTAGAAATACAAATACCATCATAAAAATAACATGCCTCAAAGACGCTCTCAACTCAATTCAATAATAACCACTAAGAAACAAAGTCCAAAATGTATTCACAAATTTACCCACTTGCATAAATATGCTATCGACCTTCAAATGTGGTAACTGTGATCATGTTTGGCGAACAAGTTCCAACATGATTTTGTCCCAATGGCTCTCTCTGAATCTCCATCTCAATTTGGCTGCTACTAAATCCAGGTTGCTTTGGCGTTGGAAGATCTGTGATCTCATTACGGAGCATACAAAGAATTGTCGGTATATTTGGTCTATCATTTGTAAATTCTTGAACACATAAGAGTCCCACGTGAATGCACCTTGAAATCTCTATTTTGTAATCCGATTCAAACATTGTTTGATCAATCAAAGCGACCAAATTATCTTCCATCCATAATTTCCATGCCTGAAGGGACACCAATTAAATCAAGTAAATGATGTCAATGGGGGAGTAATGTACCTAGTTCTATATTATAAATTTGATGAGTAGAAACTTACGAATCCGAGAAGGTTCAAAGCATGCTCGTTATCATAAAAACTTGTATTTTTTCTTCCACTGATAATCTCAAGCAATAAAACGCCAAAGCTAAAGACGTCAGATTTCTCCGAGAATTGACCTTTCATTACATATTCAGGAGACATGTAGCCACTAGATTTTGTTAAAACAATCTATCAGTATTAGAACATTTAAAATTTATATCATATGTATATAGAATTAGAAGGATATATACTTACTAAGTGCCCACAACCCTTGTCGTATTGGCTTGAGCTTCATTGCTGTAAAAAATTCTAGCGGTACCAAAATCTGAAATTTTTGGATTTAAATCTCTATCTAATAAAATGTTACTAGCTTTGAGATCTCTATGAATGATTTTTAACCTTGAATCTCTATGAAGATACAGAAGTCCTCGAACAATCTCTTCAATAATGATTAGTCTTTTTCGCCAATCTAAATTTTTTTTTTTGGAATCTGCATATTTGATTCGCAAATAGATAATTAAAACCAACTAATAGAACTTCTGAAAGTAGTTTAAAAAGTGAATGCAAGGCTAACCAAAAATAATTGAATCCAAACTTCCATTTGGCATGTACTCATATACCAACATCCTTTCTTCTCCCTCCATGCAACATCCAAGAAGTTGCACAAGATTTCTATGTTGTAGTTTCGAGATCACCATTACTTCGTTTGTAAACTCTTCAAGCCCTTGTCCAGATGTTTTCGAAAGTCTCTTTACTGCTATTTCTTGTCCATCTACCAATTTTCCCTAAAAAATGAAGCCAAATTTCCATCCATCTTTCTTCAACTTAATCAAAAGGAAAAACACACACACACACACACCAAGAACTATTCCTACCTTGTACACTGGCCCAAACCCTCCCTCACCAAGCTTGTTATTGAAGTGAAAGTGATTAGTCGCAGTTTCCAGCTTCTCAAAATCAAAAAGAGGCAGCTCCTGAAGCTTAACTTGATCCATTTTGTCATGCTTCATATCACCAGTCTTAAACAAAAACTTCAGCTGGCTTTTCCTTTTCCCTGTTGCAAAGTTGCAAATTCAGTAAGATAACTTTGAAGGGGCTTGGCTTGTTACCTGATTCTCTGGTTCTCTACTTACAAAAGCAGTATATGCAGCAGATAAGGATGAAGGTTCCTGATATTACAGAAGCTATGATGACTGCTTTCACGTCTTTGGTAGTGCTTCCACTTTCATCTGTGATACAAACCATAAAAGAAGACACCAAAAACTATGAGAATTTGACCGACACCAAGAATTCTGGTTCAGAATTAATGATACCATACCAGCCAAATCTGAATAAGCCACCCGAACATAAATGTCAACTCCAAAATTTTTGAAGTTTTGAATGTCAATTAAGTCCCCTCTCCATATCATGCAACCAATCCCTGTTTTGTATGTATAAGCAGAACAAGAACAATTTGACAAGCACTGGACTCTGCACTCATCTTCCGAAGCAACAATCCAATCTGCAAAGTCTGGAACTTTAACCATTTCCACCTTCAAAAACCCATCTTCCCTCCCATTTTCTTCACTGGAGTTGTTCTTCTCACACTCCAATGGCAAATTCCTCGCACACCCACTTGTCCAATTTCCTCTGTTCCATTCCTCTGCTTTCTTTGGCCTAAAACCCTTTAAACAACTGCAAATTGAGGTATCTTGAGAATTACAGACTCCAAATGCCCCACAAGCGCCATAAACATCACACTCTGTTTCGGGAGCTGTCCAGGCGGCCTCCCATTTCTGCTCCTCAGTATCCCATTGATTCTCTTCCAGAATTCCCTTGGGGTTGAGGTAATAAAAGAATAACTGAGCTTCGTTTGCATTGGCAACCGAGAGAGAGTAAGTTTTGTTTTCGATTACGAGATTACCTCCATGAAGATAGTCAGAGTTCATACCGGGTATTCCGATGAAAACTTGTCCGTCCCACGGACCGGACCTCCAATATGTGCGGCCGTTTTTCCAAATTACAACTTCAGGGATGGTCAAAGGGTCGATTCCGAAGGAGAAATTCCCTGAAGATGGATCCGAAGGGCTTTTCCACGACACGATTTCTACTTTCTGGTTCGTGATTGTGTTTGTGATGAATTTCATCATTGGCAAGAATTTGTCTGAAGGGTTTTTGAAACTCTCCCATGTGATGGTCCCTGAAGCAGGATCTTGCAAAATAAGGTTTCCGGAATCTAGAAGCCGAGCGGTGGAATTCACTGCAGCGTTTGAAACGCTGGAATTCCAAAGAATTTTGTTCTGCTCATCATCTAATACCACGAGATTGCCGTCGTTGGATACGGCGAAAACTCCGGATTTGTTCTTGAGAGGTTTGTCTCTGTTCGCTACCCAGACGACAGTTGGTACAGACACTCGTTTACACCAAATCCCCAAGTACCGATATGTCGAATTTGGAGGGCTGAAGAAACCCAATTCGAAGAAACCGCGATTGGACAGTACAGTTTCAGGGTCTTTGAGGATTTTTGTTGATGTGATCGAATCAATGCTGCCGGAAATTTTTAAAACGAACCAAAGAAGAAGAAGAAGAAATGGAATGGTGTTGCTGATGGGTTCCATGACCGGTGGAGTTTATCGTTCTCGGCGAAGATGAAATTTTTGATTTCAACGGAAACGGAGTCATAAGAACCAGGCCCGTGGTAATCATCACGTCAAATTTCAAAGGAGAATTGTTTTTCTATTGGTTTCCTTGGACAGAACATAGAAAACTAATAATTTCTTTAGTATTTTAATTGATCAAATTTCGGAGAGGCTTCGGTTCTAAACAGTAAACATACAATATTATTCGGTCCATTTCCATTTTCCACCCAAATTTTCAAATCGATTGTCCTTCTTTTCTCACAGAAATGGGTGCAGACGCCATTGCTGAAGAAGTTGAGTGAGCAGCAGAATGGCTCTTAATTTATTCTTACAATCATGATCAGTTTCTACTCATCACAAGTGAATTGACAAAAATACCCACCCACCTCTTGTCTGGATTTTTGTTACATGAACGGGAACAAAAAACAAAATCCCAATCTCGTATCAGAGTATAACAAATAAAAACAACTAATTTTGCAATTATATGATGAGATTTGATAATTTAACCATATTCAATATTTTTTTTCAATTAATTATTAAATCATAATAAATAAATAAATAAATATTATTAGTTCACTATTTTTTATATTACAATAAAAGAGTGTACTAATTACGCTTAGTTAAGACAATATTTTTTATTATTTTATAATTTACATAAATGAACAATTATTGTAATATGGTCGTAATTTGATATATATTAATCTTTTATTATTAGAGTAATTGTAATAGGTAGCAAAAATATTTTATATATTTCAAAAAATGTCATCAGCTTTTCAAAATTTCAAATATAGCAAAATATTTGAATTTTTATTTTCGAATTTTTTATTATTCTAATTTTACCCTTATGATATCTAATATATATCTGATGTATATCTATATCTGATATACATCCAATATATCATACATCAAATCTATATTTGATATACATCTTATGTAAATTTGTATATGAAATACATCAAATCTATATCTACCGATATAACTCTGATATACTTCCGATATACATTCGATATACCACTAATATTATACATTATCAGATATACCATGATAGATATACATTATCAAATATACCACTGATATACATCAAATATATTTATTATATATATAATATATATATCTGATGTACTTCTAATTTATGCTATACTAAATATATTTCCAACTGATATACTAAATATACTTGCAACTGATATACTAAATATAAACTTATCAAATGTTTAATTTTGAGTGGTGTATCAACTGTTTAAATTATAGTTTATCATTTCAATTTGTTGTTTAATATACTAATATTATCAATAATGTTGATTACTATATCACTACTATTTATTCAATATTAATATTAATTAGATATTAAATATAAAAGATATCAACGGTTTAAATTTATAAAGTACATCAAAATGTTAACTTGTCTTTTTGGACTGCATGGTCCACGTAAACCTTTTATATAATAACTTTATATTTCAAAAATAAAAAATAAAAATTTTTGCTCCATTGTTTTCATCTGAAAAAAAATATTTGATATAATAGTATGATATCAACACACATATGATATCAATATATATATATATATATATATATATCAACACACATATATAATGGTTATATTGGAGGTATATAAGTGGTAAATTAGAAGCATACTAAGTATATATCAGTGTTATATTAGTGGTAAATCATATAATCATATAATAAGTTATATCAGTTGATAGCATAGTTATATCAGTGGTATATCATTTGTTTATAATCAACGGTAAATTAGAGACATATCAAATATATATCACATATATATGTATTGTATTAGCATGGTAAATCAATGGTTATCATACGTATATCAGTGGTAAGACATGATAGAAGTTGAGTAGATATCATGGTTATATCATAAGTAAATCAATTTTATATCATTATTATATCAGTGGTATATCAGAGATATATATCAGTAGTCAGATATATTACAGATATATATCAGATATATTAAAGGGTGAATTTGTAATTTTACAACTGGACCTCCGTTTTTTCTGAAAAAAATTGTTATATTTGGGGAAAAAAAGAAACATGAATAAAAAGATAAGATTATGTATAACCTTTGTCATGATAGCCAGTTTTTCCTTTTCTTCATGAAGACTGGGTATTTTCAGAGAAAGAAGAGCCAAAAGTGGGGAGGTCCCGTGTGTTTTCTCTCAATCCTCCAAATGAAGTTTTTTTAAAGGGTGTTCCTCTCTGATTTGTTTCGATTCTTCCGTAGTACTTTTCAAGAAGTAGCATGAATCAAAATATGAAAGGGGCCTCTTTTGCTTTTGTGAAGGAATTTTTGGGGAGGATCTTTCTTCCTCGCTAGTTTCTGTAATGGCAGATGGTGGCTGAGTGTCGAGGATCTCCTCATTGGATGTTAATAGTATTGTTGTGGCTGACAAAATCAAAGACGTCATTGTTATGTATGATCTGTGATTTTGTCATCTGGACTTTTTGAAGAGCTATTAGGTACAAAATTGGAGAAGGCACCCGCTTGCGATCTCTCGGGATGACTCTTCCATTTTCGTTGTATCTTAGTTCAGAGAATTTCTATTGTCCAGGGACAAGGAAGACGGAGCAGAAGCGACGACGGAGGTGTAGCAGCACTCAATTGCCAGATTTATACGCCCTCTTTTATTGCCATGCACTCAGCCAAATCCACATCAGTATGACATTTGTTGGGAAAAATAATATAGATCAATCGATCCTCCTGTAAGTTCTTCAAACAGGAACTATTTGATTTTCCCCTTTCACAGGCTACAGCAGATAAGTAAGTAACAATAACAAAGGAATAAGAGATAGGGATAGAAAAGCTTAACACCACAGGATTATACTGGTTCGCCCCTATCTTGGGATTACGTCCAGTCTTCTGTAAAAAAGCAGGTTCAACTATAGTTGGGAATATTACAATGGAGACTCGAGATATTATTATCTTGCTTCTAAGTAGCCTAACAATGGTTACCTAGGATTACACAATTGAAAATACCCTCACTAAAACCCACAGGATACAAAATTCTTTTTTCATACACTGCCCACAATCACTCAAGTCTCTCTTATATTTAGGTTCTCTACAAATGAAACCTTAACAAAAGGGTTTTATTTATAAGAAGTCAAATATCTCAATCCTTATAGGAAAACAGTTTTTTTTTTTTGAGAATAATTTAGATTTTAAGTTAAATCTACAATAACATTAATAAAAATAAAATTAAAAACATAAAAATATAAAAAATTATGTGTATAATAATTATATGTATAAAAATAGTTAAAACATTAGAATGTTATGTTTTAGTCCAAACTTTTACTAATTATTGTGTAAAATAAGTTCAGTAGTCAAACTCTGTAAAGTAAATAAAAATATACCTACACTAATTAGATTAAAAAGACAACAAATGATTGAAAAAGATTTTTGGCAGCGTTAATAGAGTAAGCAGCGGTACAATTTAAAATTAGGTTTTAAATTTTCCATCAACTTATTTATTTTCTTATTTTTCTTTTTTTAAAAATTTACATATTTGTATAGAAAATTTATAATTTATCATTTTTTAAAAATTTATATAATCTATGATTTTTTTTCTTCTTTAAAACTTAGGTTAGAATAAAAAAAAGTATAAAAAAATCATGAATAAAGAGAAAAAATACGCAATTAGATGGAAAATAATATAAATAAAAATGTCTCAAGTTCAAACATGGAAGATAACTTGAAGAAAAATTAAAAAGAAAAAAATACCCTAACTTTCGCACAACAAAAGGAAAAAAAACGACTATGGAAAGATTTGAACCTTAAAATTTTGAGAGGGGGTTGGACATCATACAACCACTACACCACGGGTGTATTAGATTGTTTAATACTAATGGTATATTTCTTAAAGTTCAGGAAAGCTCAAACTCCCTCTGGACCCAATGTAAATCCGCCCCTGAGTCTTGACTAGCAGCACCAAATTCTTCAAATTCAATCCAGCTTAGAGCATCTCTCCAATCCAAAAGAAGATGGGCAAAACTCATCCCCTGGTGTGGAGAATAAAGGGTAGCAAATTTCGAACTATTCCACCCTCATCGTACCTTTTTTCAAGAACCTAAGGGAATTGATAGGATGTCTGCTGCCTCATGGGGAAGAAGGTGATTTTGAATTTTATGCACAGGCCACTGACCACAGGGGCTAATTAGCTCACCAACTCTGGAATTCAATATGTTTTACTTGCAGAAAAAACATATATATGTATTTATTATTTTATTCATTTTCTTAGCCTTAGGTCAGAAATTAGATTATAATTTAGACTTTGGTGGCCGGCCACTGCATCGCACTTGGCAGTAGCACCGCACTTCCTCCGAACCTGTAGATGAAATTCCCTTCAGCCACGTCCCATCAGTCATCACCATCAGCTTCCTTTAAAGTCCAAAGTGGCGGCTTTGCTATGTGATCAATAAACTTCCAAGATCACAAAGAAAAGGTTCAATGGAACATGGATGACTTTGTAAGGTCTCCCCGAACTTGTTTCTCAGGGAACAAGATTAAACAGCCACCACCAACACGGCTTTATCTCAAACTCATTCTGTGTTTTACAAACGTAAGCAAATGAAGTTGAGAACCATACTGTATCACAGCAGAGAACAACTACCGCCATTGTTATTTATGACATTGACATGAATGAAACTATCATTACTTTCGACCCAGTTTAGTCGAATTAGCAGTCTCAGCCAAAGCCATGAAACCCGTACAGAATTATTGGAGTTTTTCAGGTCGTCTTCTTCTTCTGTCGTTTACATGCTTCTATTCAAGCTTTTGCTTCGGCAGAGATACTATCACATCAACAAATTTCATCAAAGACCCTGCAACTATAATATCCAATTCCAGTTCCTTCGAGTTGGGGTTCTTCACACCTGTTAATTCTACGAGCCGATATGTCGGAATTTGGTTTAAGCAACAAATTTCTGTACAAATGGTTGTATGGGTAGCCAACAGAGATAACCCTCTCCACGATGCTGCCGGGATTTTCACAATTTCGAAGGATGGTAATCTTGTTGTCTTAGATGGAAACAACGCCGTCGTTTGGTCTTCCAATATTTCTTCTTCTTCTTCTTCTGGAACCAACACAAGCGCCCGAATTTCAGATACCGGTAACCTTGTTTTGGAAGATACGGCTTCCGGGTTGGTTTTATGGGAGAGTTTCAAACACCCTACTCATGCATACTTGCCTTCCATGGAATTTATCACAAACACAAAAACCGACGAGGAAATTGGGCTTACTTCATGGAACACCCCTTCTGATCCATCCATGGGAAACTTTTCGTTGACACTGTTTATTCACAATATTCCTGAAAATGTCATTTGGAACGGGCGTACCCCGTATTGGAGGTCTGGTCCGTGGAATGGGCAGACTTTTATAGGGATGCCCGAAATGAAATCTGTTTATCTCTCTGGAAATAGTCTCTTAATCGAAGACCAAACTTACCATCTCACCAATGGTCAAAAATCCATGTACATATTTTTAAGCTCACAAGGGAATGTGGAGCGAAGGGCGTGGGATTCTACGGAGGAGCGCTGGAAAGTTATTTGGTCAGCTCCACGAACGCAGTGTGATTTTTATGGTGCTTGTGGGGCATTTGGGTTCTGTAATGCAAAAGCATCCCCTGTTTGTAGATGTTTAAGAGGGTTTAAGCCAAAGCAGGAAGAGGAATGGAATCAAGGAAATTGGAGTGGTGGATGCGTGAGAATTACACCAGTGAAGTGTGGGAAATTCAACACAGCCAACGCTGAGGAAGATGGGTTTTCAAAAGTGGAAATGGTTAAAGTGCCATTTCTTGCAGAGTGGTCCAATTCCTCTGCTACAGCAGATGACTGCAAACATGAGTGCTTGAAGAATTGTTCGTGTAGTGCTTATGCATATGAAAATGGCATTCATTGCATGCTATGGAAAAGCGATTTAATTGATATACAGAAGTTTGAGAGTGGTGGAGCTGATGTTTACCTTCGTTTGGCATATGCAGACTTAGACCACACCAGTATAGACTCTCCCTGAATTTCTACTTCTACTGCACTATTTTCATCACTGAAATTATATTGGTTTTTCCCATCTAAGTCTATTTAATATTGCTTTCAGTTCCATCCACAGAGGATGTAAAACACAAGAAAGGAATCATAATAGCCCTGGTGGTAGCAGGAATGTTTATCATCTCCATCATTGTCATATACTTCAGCTGGAGATGGAAGACTCACAAACATGGTATGGCAAACCTCATTACTTTATTAAAAAAAGTTGAAAGTTCAAGATTACTATATGACTATTTTATTATCATCTTCAGCAAAGAAAACCAGAGGCAAGAAGATGTCATTGTTCAACGAATTGAGGGGAAATTTCTTGAACTCGACGATGGGTCATAGAATTGGAGACAACTTGAACCAAGAGTTACCAACTTATGACCTTGAGAAGCTGGAAATTGCAACAAACCATTTTCATATGGGAAACAAGCTTGGAGAGGGTGGGTTTGGCCCTGTGTATAAGGTAGCCTTATTCACATATGCTTATTCTGTTTAATTGCAAGTTACCATGTTTGTGATTACTAGTTTGGTTTCAGGGGAGATTGGTGGATGGACAAGAAATAGCTGTAAAAAGACTTTCAACAGCCTCTGCCCAAGGGCTTGAAGAATTCATAAACGAAGTAACAGTAATTTCGAAACTCCAACATCGGAATCTTGTTCGGCTTTTTGGTTGCTGTGTTGAAGCTGAAGAAAAGATGTTGATATATGAGTACATGCCAAACTTAAGTTTGGACGCATTTATCTTTGGTTAGACACTCTCTCTTAAATACCATTTTTGTACCATTTTGCTTCTGTTGTATAATGTCTATTCACTCATCAGAAGTAAATATTGTTCATGTAGATTCCTCCAAACAAAAACTCTTAGATTGGGGAAAAAGGCTCAACATCATTAGGGGGATTGCACGAGGCCTCCTTTACCTTCACAAAGATTCTAGATTGAAGATCATTCATAGAGATCTAAAAGCGAGCAACATTCTATTGGATGAAAACTTTAATCCCAAAATTTCAGATTTTGGTATGGCACGGATTTTTGGCAACAATGAAGATCAAGCAAGCACTTTAAGAGTGGTTGGAACTTAGTAAGTATCTCTGAGTTGATTTCTAGTAGTTGAGCTAATAATATCACTTAAATACATTTCTTCGATGAATCTAGTGGCTACATGTCTCCCGAATATGCAATGCAAGGCCGATTCTCAGAGAAATCAGACGTGTTTAGTTTCGGAGTTTTGTTGCTTGAAATTATTAGTGGGAGAAAAAATACAAGCTTTTGCCACGACGAGAATGTCATAAGCCTATTAGGACTGGTACATCTACGACTGGACTTTTTCCCAATTAGTTTAGAACTTCAACTTCGATTCCCTACTACATTTATGTCCTCTCATCTTAAAACTTATTTTCTACATGTTTTGCAGGCTTGGAAATTATGGAATGAAGAGAATCTAATTTCTTTGATTGATCCAGCAATACATGACTCGTGTCATCACACAGAGATTTTGAGATGCATGCACATAGGACTGTTGTGCGTTCAAGAAGCCATAAAGGATAGGCCAAATATGTTGACCATTCTTTCGATGCTTAATAGTGAAATTATAGATCTTTATCCTCCTAAACAACCTGGCTTTACTAGCATAAAATTTGAGAGTAATACAAATTTAGCTCAGCATAGTCAGGGTAAACGTTCTGTAAATATGGTTACAATTACCAAGATTGAGGGACGGTAATATTAATTAATTAGTATGTCATATAATTGCAACAATTCTCAATATCTTTTACTTTTTATTTTATTAGAAACAGAGGCTTAAGAAGCAGGGATACATGGTGACCATATCGTCAAGTTTCTTGCATGACAAACACATTTCCAAAGGAGATATGAAATTTGTCTCAAAGATAAGAACTCATAGGACTCTTTGATTTTGAGAATGTACTAATTTCTCAATAAAATACAGAGATAAAATTTGATATTCCTTTTTAAGATAATTGGTTTTTGAAGGAGAAATGTAGCTCTGCGGTGGAAGTAGTTTCACCTCTAACACCGCCTATCAATTATAAGTGCAAGTGATTGTGATTTCAAAATTTCAACATAGATGTTTTGTCCTGCTTTTAGTTGACTAAGTCAAGTTTTTAATTTCATTAAACCCTCAACCAGAAATTAAGGAGAGTAGAGATAAATCAAATAGCCCAACTACCAGACTTGTGACAGCAGAGGACAATTACAGCCATTGTAATTTATGACATGAAGCCAACTCCACAAAGTTACCATGTTTTACATAGCACATTACTTTGGACCCAGTTTAGTGGAATTAGTAGCCAGCCAAAGCCATGGAACCCCAAAAGAATTGGAGTTTTTCAGCTCTTCTTCTTCTTCTTTTTTCATTTACATGCTTGTCTTCAAGATTTTGCTGTGGCAGAGATACGATCACATCAACAAATTTCATCAAACACCCTGCAACTATAGTTTCCAATGGCAGTTCCTTCGAGTTGGGGTTCTTCACACCTGTAAATTCCAGCAACCTATATGTTGGGATTTGGTTCAAGCAAATTTCTGTACAAACTGTAGTATGGGTAGCAAACAGAGAGAACCCTCTCAAGGATGCTACCGGGATTTTCACAATTTCCAAGGATGGGAATCTTGTGGTCTTAGATGGAAACAACACCATCCTTTGGTCTTCAAATGTTTCTTCTTCTTCTACCACTAACCGGAGCGCCCGAATTTTAGATTCGGGTAACCTTATTTTGGAAGATACAACTTTGGGGATGATTATATGGGAGAGTTTCAAACACCCTTCTCATGCATACTTGCCATCCATGGAATTGATCTCAAACGAAACGACCAAACAGAAAGGCGGGCTTACCTCATGGATCGGCCCTTCTGATCCATCCACGGGTAACTTTTCTTTAACGCTGTATGTTCACAGTATTCCCGAAAATGTCATTTGGAATGGGCATAACCCGTATTGGAGGTCTGGTCCGTGGAACGGGCAGACTTTTATCGGAATACCCGAAATGAAATCTGTTTATGTCTCTGGAAATAGCCTCGTAATCAACGGCAGACTCCTCATCTCACTAATGGTAAACAAACCATGTATATGTTTTTAAGCTCACAAGGGAATGTGGAGCGAATGGAGTGGGATTCCGCGGAGGAGCAGTGGAAACTTATTTGGTTGGCTCCACAAACGCGGTGCGATTTGTATGGTGCTTGTGGGGCGTTTGGGATTTGTAATGTAAAAGCATCCCCTGTTTGCAGCTGTTTAAGAGGGTTTAAGCCAGAGCAGGAAGAGGAATGGAATCTAGGAAATTGGAGTGGTGGGTGTGTCAGAAATACACCATTGAGCTGTGATCAGGATCAGGAATATGAGTTCTTAAAAATGGAAATGGTCAAAGTGCCATTTCTTGCCGAATGGTTCAATTCCTCTACTTCAGTAGATGACTGTAGACGTGAGTGCTTGAAAAATTGTTCGTGTAGTGCTTATGCATATGAGAATGGTATTCGTTGTATGCTATGGAGAGGAGACTTAATTGATATACAAAAGTTTGAGAGCGGTGGAGCTGATCTTTACCTTCGAATGGCATTGGATACAACAAGTAGACTCTCTAAACTTCTACTCTTGTTTAATTTTCATCATTGAATTCCCCATGTATGAGTCTTTAGTATCATTGCTTTCATTCACAGATGATGTAAAACACAAGAAGAGGATCATAATAGTCATGGTGCTACCAACAACGTTTATTATCTTCACCATTGCCATCTACTTTTGGTGGAGATGGAAGAGTCGCAAACATGGTAACTCAAACCTCATTAATTTGCCGCGTTCTCAAGACTCATCCAAAAATGATTATACAAACGAAAATTTTGTCCCTCGCTTATATTCATGATCTTCCTCTCATCTAGTTGATGTTGATGGAGGACTTCGGTCGCATTTCTAATACACAATTGAAATAATATTAGTGAGAGACTATCAAATATTTGCCATTTCACTTGTATAGCTTAGTTCATTGATTCTTGAGACTTAACATTTGCAGTGAAGAAAATGAGAAGCAATATGGCATCATTCAACGAATCAAGGGGAAATTTTTTGAACTTGACGATGAGTCAAAGATTTGGAGACAATGTGGATCAAGAGTTTCCAACTTACGACTTTAAGAAGCTGGAAATGGCCACAAACCATTTTCATTTAGATAACAAGCTCGGAGCGGGTGGGTTCGGCCCGGTGTACAAGGTAAACTTTTGTGAGCTTGTTCAAATATATTCAGTACGTGTGTGAGAGTAATTTTGAAAAAAGAGATTTTAACTCTAATTAATTTTTTAAAATTACCATCTAATTGATACTTTAAAAATGAATTTAAAGTGATTTTGAACTTTTATAAAATGAACTTCTAAATTTGACAAACATGATCAATAGAAAAATAAGTGATTTGACAATGTCAAAAACGATTTTGAATGTGCCAAACTCATTCCCAAACACACTCTTATTCTATTGAATTGAAAATTAAAGATCCGTGATTATAATTTTTGGTTTCAGGGAAGATTGATGGATGGACAAGAAATTGCTGTAAAAAGACTTTCAAGAGCCTCTAGCCAAGGACTTGAAGAATTTATAAATGAAGTGAGTCATTTCGAAACTCCAACATCGAAATCTCATTAGGTTGTTTGGTTGTTGCGTGGAAGGAGAAGAGAAGATGTTGGTATATGAGTACATGCCAAACCTAAGTTTGGATGCATTTATCTTTGGTAACACACTTTTGGATCATTTTGCCTTTATTGTATAAAATGTCAAATGTCAATTTACCCATCAAAAGCAAATATTGTTTATGTAGATTCCTCCAAACAAAAACTCTTAGATTGGGGAAGAAGGTTCAATATCATTGTTGGGATTGCAAGCGGCCTTCTTTACCTCCACAAAGATTCTAGATTGAAGATCATCCATAGAGATTTAAAAGCAAGCAACATTTTATTAGATGAAAATTTCAATCCCAAAATTTCAGATTTTGGTATGGCACGAATTTTTGGCAACAATGAAGATCATGCTAGTACTTTAAGAGTGGTTGGAACTTAGTAAGTATCTGTAAGTTAATTAACTTAATTTCTAGTAGCTAATCTAACGGTATCATTTAAGTATATTTTGTTTTGATGAATTTAGTGGCTACATGTCTCCTGAATATGCCATGGAAGGTCGATTCTCAGAGAAATCAGATGTATTTAGTTTTGGAGTTTTGCTGCTTGAAATTATTAGTGGGAGAAAAAGTTTGAGTTTTTACCATGACGAGAATGGCTTAAGCTTACTAGGAATGGTATGTATACGAACTAAACTTTCTCATTACTTTATAAATTTTGCTTCTAATTCTTTGTTAACATGTAAATTTTATCAACTTGAAACTTGTTTTCTACATATTTTTAGGCTTGGAAGTTGTGGAAGGAAGAGAATATAATTTCTTTGATTGATGAAGCAATACATGACTCGAGTCATCACACAGAAATTTTGAGGTGCATCCATATAGGGCTGTTGTGCGTTCAAGAAGCCATAAAGGATAGGCCAAATATGTTGACCATTCTTTCGATGCTTAATAGTGAAATTATAGATCTTTATCCTCCAAACCAACCTGGTTTTGTTGGCATGAAATTTGGGAGTAATACAAATTCATCCCAACAAAGTCTGAGTATGTATTCTGTAAATATGGTTACAGTTACTAAGATCGAAGGACGGTAGTGATTAGCATGTCACATAATGGCAATAATTCTCAGTTGTTTTACATTTAGACAAAAATATTTGTTACTGTACCAACTATTTTACTCASTTTCTTAGTCCCATAATTTTAGCAGTTGTAAAATTATACCTCTGTCGTATGTATCTTAATTAGAATCCAGATTAACATATGATTTTATGGATGTTGCCGGGATTTTCACAATTTCAAAGGATGAGAATCTTGTGGTCTTAAATGGAAACGACATCGTCCTTTGATCTTCAAATGTTTCTTCTTCTTCTACCACCAATCGAAGCTCCCGAATTTAATTCGAATAACTTTGTTTGGGAAGATACAATTTTGGAGTGGTTACATGGAAGAGAATAAAAAAAGAAGAGATATTGAGTTTTAATAGAAAAAAAAAGTCAATAGGAAAATGATGGTAAGCAGTCTAATATTTTTTTTAGTAGAACATATATATGTGATGGGGATCGAACTCACAATCTTTTGATTTGAAATATATGTCAATACCGTTAAACTATGCTCGCATGAGGTTAACAAGTCCATATACAAGTTTTTTTTCATATTAATATTTAATATTACCAAGCTTTCATTTTCTCAATTCCAACCAATGCCCACCAATTAGTTGGTGCTATGCAATAAATCTAAATTCCGGAAATAAAATAACATTCGAAAACAATTTAAACATTAAATTTAAAATTGACCTCAAAAAATTATGGGGAATGATGTCATTTACTTTATTTTAGAAACATCAACCAATATTTATATAAGCTCATAATTAAGTCATATCTTGCAAATCACATTATTATTGAAAGACAACATTATCTTACATGCAATGCAACCATCACACACTGAGTTTTAGTGTTTTTTTTTTAAAAATACAATAAAATATTCATCATAAATTCACTAAGTCCAGTACACAGTACAAAGTCGAATGGTTGACTTTGTAAGGTTGACAATCAGCTCCAGCCAATGGGCTTCCCCCCCGGAAAATGTTTCTGAAGGAACAAGGATTCAACGTCTCTGTTTTATAGACTATTTCCCTCACAGTTTCAGTCGAATTAATAAGTAGCCATAGCCAGCGATAACTATGAAACCTCAGACGAACTGGAGTTTTTCATGTCGTCTTCTTCTAATTCTCTCATTTACATGTTTCTCTTCAAGATTATTAATTTGCTCCGGCAGAGATACGATCACATCAACGAATTTCATCAAAGACCCTGAAACTATAACATCAAATGCCAGTTCCTTCCATCTGGGCTTCTTCACACCTCCTAATTCTACAAGGCGATATGTCGGAATTTGGTTCATAAACCAAATACCTCAACAAACCGTAGTATGGGTAGCCAACAGAGACAACCCTTTAAACAACACTTCTCAAGGGATCTTCACAATTTCCAAGGATGGGAATCTTGTGGTCTTGGACGGAAACAACACCGTCCTTTGGTCTTCAAATGTTTCTTCTCCTGCAACAAATCGAAGCGCCAGAATTTTAGATTCGGGAAACCTTGTACTTGAAGATGCTTCTTCAGGGGAGGTCATATGGGAGAGTTTCAAACACCCTTCTGATAAATTCTTGACTTCCATGAAACTTATCACAAACGCAAAAACTAGAGAGAAAGTGGAGCTTACCTCATGGAACACCCCTTCTGATCCATCAACGGGAAACTTCTCCTTAGGGATTTATGTTCACAATATTCCTGAAGCTGTTATTTGGAAGGGTCGTAACACGTATTGGCGGTCGGGTCCATGGAACGGTCAGAATTTCATTGGAATACCCGAAATGGATTCTACCTATCTCTCTGGATATAAGCTCACAATCGAAGACCAAAGTTACCATTTTTCTGTCGCTTATAATGATGATGAACAATTTGGTTACTTATTTTTAAGCTCACAGGGGAATTTGGTGGAAACAAACGTGGATCTTGATGACGAGCGCCGCTGGAGAGCTACTTGGTCGGCTCTGCAAACACAGTGTGATATCTATGGCACTTGTGGGGCATTTGGGATTTGTGATGCAAAAGCGTCCCCAATTTGTAGCTGTTTAAGAGGGTTTAAGCCAAATCATGAACAGGACTGGAATCGAGGAAACTGGAGTGGGGGTTGTGTGAGAAAGACACCATTGAAGTGTGAGACGAAGTTGAACAGCACCAGTGATAAAGAAGATGGATTTTTGAAAGTGGAAATGGTGAAAGTTCCATTTCTTGCAGAGTGGTCCAATTCCTCTGCTTCGGCAGATGATTGCAGACGCGAGTGCTTGAGGAATTGTTCATGCAGAGCTTATGCTTATGAAAATGGCATTCACTGCATGCTATGGAGTGGAGACTTGATTGATATAAAACAATTTGAGAGCAATGGAACTGATCTTTACCTTTTAATGGCATATGCAGACTTAGATAAGAGTATAATCTCCATAAACCTTCTATTTCAATTTTTTCATTGCTAGCATTGTATTGTTTTACCAACAAAATCTCTATAGTATTGATTTCATCCACAGATGATATCAAAGCTACGAAAGGAATTACCCTAATTATAGTGTTACCAGTAATAACGTTTATTATCTTCTTCGTCATTGCTATATACTTCTTCTGGAGATGGAAGACTCGAAAACAAGGTAATGCTCCCCTCAAATTTTTTTTTTTCCAATAAGGGTTCAAGTACAAACAACATTATGTGAAGTCGAACTCACAGCATTTTAGTCGAAACGAACTTGCTTAAGTTGATGTTTGGTCATAATTTAGTTATGTTTTTTTTACCGTATATATACTTTTGGTCTTCACATCATTTCCTTTGGCATTCTATTAATTTGTAAAATAGTTATATAGTTAGTGACATTTGAGGTATATAGCAGAGAAAAAGAAAACTATGAATAGTAGCATAAATGAGAACACTTTGAAGCTTAGAATGGATGATATGATTGGAGACGAAGTTAAATTGGAGGAGCTACCTCTTTATGATTTTGAGAAGTTGGCAATTGCAACAAACAACTTTGATTTAAGCAACAAGCTTGGGCAGGGTGGCTTTGGTCCAGTTTACAAGGTAGGTAACCACATGGTAAAAATATATATATATATTTTTTTATTTTTTTTTTGTTGATTTATTGGAAGCAATTGGCTCAAGATAATATTTTATTTTCAGGGAAAACTATTAAATGGACAGGAAATAGCTGTAAAGAGGCTTTCAAGAGCCTCAAACCAAGGGTATGAAGAGTTTATAAACGAAGTGAGGGTGATTTCGAAACTACAACATAGGAATCTTGTGCGACTTCTTGGATGTTGCATCGAAGGAGATGAGAAGATGTTAATATATGAATATATGCCCAACTTAAGTTTGGATGCATTAATCTTTGGTTAGATACTGTGATATATATATTTTTAATATTTTTTTAGTTGCTTTAGAATATTCATTCACTAACCCAATTAAATCTATGTATGTAGGCTCCCCCAAGCCAAATTTGTTGGATTGGCGAAAAAGGTTTAATATTATTGATGGTATTGCTCGAGGTCTTCTTTATCTTCATCGAGATTCGAGATTGAGAATCATACATAGAGATCTGAAGGCAAGTAATATACTATTAGACAAAGACTTAAATCCTAAAATTTCAGACTTCGGTATGGCAAGAATTTTTGGTGGTAATGAAGTTCAAGCAAACACTTTAAGGATCGTTGGAACTTAGTAAGGCCTCCCACCATCTTATTTCATTTTATCATAATTATTATACAACTAACACACATTAATTTGATGTTGATCTTTTTAATGAATCAGTGGATATATGTCTCCTGAATATGCAATGCAAGGTCAATTTTCGGAGAAATCAGATGTGTTTAGTTATGGAGTTCTATTGCTTGAAATCATTAGTGGGAGACGAAATACAGGATTCTACCGTCACGAACATGCTTTAAGCTTATTGGAATTTGTATGTTTATATATATTAAGAATAATTTCACGCACTCTCAAATTAACTATAACATATTTGAATATCTCAATAACGCACACAAATCTTTGACTTGATTTCAGGCATGGAAATTATGGATGGAAGACAATCTTATTCCATTGATTGAACCAACAATATATGAATTGTGCTACCAACCAGAGATTTTGAGATGCATCCATGTGGGGTTCTTATGCATTCAAGAATTTATAAATGATAGGCCAACTGTCTCTACCATTATTTCAATGCTCAATAGTGAAATTTCTGTTCTTCCATCTCCAAAGCAACCTGGCTTTATCGGTATACCACGTGACAATAACATAGAGTCATCTCGACAAAATTTGGATAAATTGTCTATAAATAATCTTACAGTTACCACAGTTGTACCTCGGTGAGGTGTTAGACAATTAAAAAAAACAAATTTTTGCTTCTATTGATCTTACGTAATTGACTTGTAATTTTGCTTTCGAACCCACAAATTTAAATTTGTCAGTTTTAAATTATAACTTGATTCCACATAGTTTTGAAGGACACATCTGATTTCTCTGTGTCTCCAAACTCCTGTATTCATATGTAAATTATAAGTGTTGTAGTTTCCATTTTGATTTCTACTCCATTGACATGGTTTGTGTTATAAGCCTTTGCCTTACTGTATTTAAAGTACATCACTATTGAATTTTTCCTTTAGATTTATTGTCAAGCACGAATACTTTTACGCCAATCGATTTGTAGGAAGGATTTTATGTTTGAATCTTTGACCCTCACCTTATTGAATTCAGAAAAAAAAAAAATTATATGTTTTTTAAAACTATTGGTTCAAAAATCACTCTAAATCCCCGTGTTAAGAATCCCCTATCGAAAGGTTTATACATGCATCGTGGACTATTCCTCTTGCTAATTAATTTTGAGATTTCGTTCTAGGAATGTTAAAATTGAAGTCCGAAGTGGTGGCTTTGAAATTGAAATGTGTGACGATCATCTAATTCAAAAAACAAACAAAAAATTCAAATGGGTGACTTTGTAACGTTGACAGCAAGGCTTTGCTGCATCTAAACGTCTTCCATTGAACACGACTATTCTTCACAAAGTTCAGTATAGAATTATTAATTACTTCCTCGGCTCACCAGGAATAGGAGGATTATCAATCAACCACATCCATGAAACCCCTGAACAATTGCAGCGTTTCATGTCGTCTTCTTCTTTCATTTATATGCTTCTCTTCAACATTTTGCTTTTCCAAAGACACCATCACATCAACAAATTTCATCAAAGACCCTGCCACTATAACATCCAACGCCACTTCCTTCCAATTGGGATTCTTCTCACCTCTTGATTCTACCCGCCGATATGTCGGAATTTGGTTCAACCAAATTTCTCCACAAACTGTGGTGTGGGTTGCCAACAGAGACAACCCTCTCAACGACACTTCCGGGCTCTTCACCATTTCCAACGACGGGAATCTTGTCGTCTTAGATGCCAAAAACACCACCATTTGGTCTTCAAATCTTTCTTCTTCTCCTGCAATCAACACAAGCGCCCGAATTTTAGATTCGGGTAACCTCGTTTTGGAAAATACTGCTTCCGGTGCGATTATATGGGAGAGTTTCAAACACCCTTTTGATAAATTCTTGCCTTCCATGAAACTTGTCACAAACACAAGAACCAAAGACGAAATTGGGCTTACCTCATGGAGCAGCCCTTCCGATCCTTCTACAGGTAACTTTTCGTTAGCTCTGCATGTTTACAATATTCCCGAAGCTGTCGTTTGGAATGGCCTTAACCTGCATTGGAGGTCTGGTCCATGGGATGGTCAGATTTTTATTGGAATACCCGACATGATTTCTGTTTATCTCTATGGATTTAACCTCGTAATCGAAGACCAAACTTACACTCTCTCTGTTGCTTCTGATGCTCAACAATTAATTGCTTACATGGTTTTGAGTTCACGTGGGAGTGTGGAGCGAATGGGGTGGGATTCCGCGAAGGAGCAATGGAACAATATATGGTCGGCTCTACAAACGCAATGTGATTTGTATGGTGCTTGTGGGGTGTTTGGGATCTGTAATGCAAAAGCCTCCCCTGTTTGCAGCTGTTTAAGAGGGTTTAAGCCAAATCAACAAGAGGAATGGAATCAAGGAAATTGGAGTGCTGGTGGATGTATGAGAAAGACGCCATTGAAGTGTGAGAAGTTGAACAACTCCAACACTGAGGAAGATGATGGGTTTGTAAAAATGGAAATGGTCAAAGTTCCATTTTTTGCAGAGTGGTCAAACTCCTCCGTTACAGCAGATGATTGCAGACGCGAATGCTTGAAGAATTGTTCGTGCAATGCTTATGCATTTGAAAACAGTATTGGTTGCATGATGTGGAGTAGAGACTTAATTGATATACAAAAGTTTGAGAGCGGTGGAGCAGATCTTTATGTTCGAATGGCATATGCAGATTTAGATACATGTAGACTACTCTGCCTAAAACTCTATTGCAAATTTTCATCGTGAAATTATATTGTTTTTCATTTGAAGTCTCTTCATTAACAGATTATGTAAAGGACAATAAAGGAATCATGATAGCCATAGTGGTACCAGCACTGATCATAGTGTTGGTCACTGTCACATACTTGTGCTGGTGGAGATGGAAAACTCGGAAACAAGGTAACACAAACCACCTCATTAATAATTTCTTAAAAAATGCACTAATATTTTGATGTCTAATAGCAGCAAAGGAGAAGAGATCTATAGTGACCAACAAAAAGGAGAAGATTTTGAAATTGAGGAACGATGAAGTTAAACTGGAGGAGCTACCTCTTTATGAGTATGAGAAGCTAGAAATTGCAACAAACAACTTTGACTTAAGTAACAAGCTTGGACAAGGTGGCTTTGGTCCAGTATATAAGGTTAGATATATAGTACTTTGCTGATATTTCTCTTATTGATCAGTTAGAAGCATATTGGCTCAAAATATAGTGTTTTATTATTTTCTTAGGGAAAACTATTAAATGGAGATGAAATAGCAGTAAAGAGACTTTCAAAAGTCTCTAGTCAAGGATACGAAGAATTTATAAATGAAGTGGAGGTGATTTCGAAACTGCAACATATAAATCTTGTGCGACTTCTTGGTTATTGCATTGAAGGAGAAGAGAAGATGTTAATATATGAATACATGCCCAACTTAAGTTTGGATGCATTCATCTTTGGTTAGATATTCTTGTACTAAATTTTAAGAAATGTTATTTGCTTTAGAATATATATACATATGTATATATTCTCTAACCACAATTGAAACCTTTTTGCATGTAGATTCTATCAATCAAAAGATTTTGGATTGGAGAAAAAGATTTAATATTATTAATGGAATTGCTCGCGGTCTCCTTTACCTTCATAGAGATTCAAGATTGAGAACCATCCACAGAGATTTAAAGGCAAGTAATATTCTATTAGACAAAGATTTCAATCCTAAAATCTCAGATTTTGGTATGGCAAGAATTTTTGGTAGTAACGAAGTGCAAGCTAATACTCTAAGGGTCGTTGGAACTTAGTAAGTATCACTCACCGTTTTATACTGCTTTTTTCTAAAGAACTTTATTTAATTTGATTATAATAATTATGCAATGAACTAATCAGAATTAATTGTACTGTATATAGTGGATATATGTCACCAGAATATGCAATGCATGGACAATTTTCAGAGAAATCAGATGTTTTTAGTTTTGGAGTTTTGTTACTTGAGATTATAAGTGGGAGAAGAAATACGGGATTCTACCGTCACCAACATTCCTTAAGCTTATTGGAATTTGTATGTATATAGAAAAAGATCAAACTTATTCGCTTCTAAACTTATGATATCATTTATATCTCTATAACTCATATAGCTCTTTTAACTTGGTTTCAGGCATGGAAGTTATGGATGGAAAACGATCTCATTCCTTTGATTGACACAACAATATATGAATTGAGCTACCAACCAGAGATTTTAAGGTGCATTCAAGTGGGATTTTTATGCGTCGAAGAATTTATAGATGATAGACCAAATATCTCTACAATTATTTCGATGCTCAACAGGGATATTTTAGATCTTCCCAATCCAAAACAACCTAGCTTTATTGGTAGCCAACCTAGGAGTAACACAAAGACATCTCAACAATGTTTAAATAAAAATTCTGTAAATAGTGTAACACTTACCACAGTAATTGGTCGATAGTGGTGGAATCTTGCCTTTTGAAGAACAGGTACGTACTTTTTTTTTCTTATCCCAAGACTTTTATTTCATTTAATTTATTTTGTCCCAAAACTTTAATAATTATAAAAGTTCTCCCATTCAAAATAAAAAAAATTATTAGAAATTTGTCCTCCCTTCCCTTCATATCATTGTACTAGAAAAATAAAATTTTGCATTTAAGGAGATAGCTGGCATACTTTTCTTCTTTGAAATCACAGGTAACTACTTTCCTGTAGAAATATATAAATATATAATATTTCTAGTCATGGTTGTTTTTCATGTTCCTCCCAGGCAAATTTAAGGAAAAACTATAAAATAAAAATAAAGTTTCTTTATATTTATTTTCTCAATTCGAACTGCACCTCCATCCCTCCTTTCCTATGCCTTCTGTAAATATTATATAATAAAATAATAATAAGAACCAAAATAATTATTTTTAAAAATTCATGAACTTTTTCTTAATAAACATAGGAGGAGATTCAAACTCACGACCTTTTTGGTTAGAAGTATGCGTCATCTCCCATACTTTACCAGTGTACTAAGCTTTTACAAGGCTTGGTGGTCTACATAGACGATCTTGTGCTTAATTTAGCCCAAACTTTTGTATTGAATGCACTATGACTTGTCTTTCTCTTTCAAGTGTGATGAATTTTACGGCTATTTCATAAATTCAAGTAGCATTTTACAATCTACTTTTCTTTTGTCTGGCATCGATGAAGTGATGCAGGTATTCCTCAAGCATGCTGTTGAATCTCTCTGTCTGACCATCGGTCTGTGGGTGATAACTCGAGGAAATGTTCAAGCTTGAACCCAGAATAGAAAAAAGTT